GAACTTTATTATTTTAATTGTATATAGAGAAACATAAAAGAGGAAAGGCTAACAACTCAGTGAATTAAGAGTCTATTTCCAGGAGACAGAAAAATAACAGAAAATTAAACTCAAAGAAAGTAGAAGGAAGGAAATGGCAAAATTAAAAACATAAACTGATGAAATAAAACCAAATATGTTCACCTGCTTTCTTGATGAAGCTGTTCAAGCAAAATGAAAAAAGAAATAACCAATATCAAGTATAAAAAAAGAAGTTTTTACTAAGGTCTTTCAGACCTGTAAAATTATTAAAAAGATATATTTAAAACTTTATTAAGCAAACTTTAAAATATAAATGAAATGGATCAATTACTCAAAAATAATATATGTAAAAATTTACAGAAGAATAGAAAATTTTAATAATCCTTCACTATTTAAAAAATTAAATGTATAAGTTCAAATTTTACAGTAAAGAAAACACCAGGCCCAGATGGCTTCTAAAAAACATTCAAGGAAGAAATTATGGCAATCTTACAAAAACCCTTTCAGAGGACAGGAAAGACAGCTACCATTTACCAACTGATTTTCAAGGGCCAGAGTAACACAGATATAAAAACTGACAGGAAATTCCAAGAAAGAAAAATTTCAGGCTGGCCTGACTTACGAATATAGAGGCAAATATCCCGAACATAAGATTCGTAAATTTACCCACTAACATCAAAACGGGATTTTGGTGATCAGCTTGGGCTGAACTGGAAAGTCATAGTCACACTTTACCTATTGTTTTTTTCCTGAAATTCAGGAGAAATGCCTCTTATTGGTTTTTGGTTAAGTTGGTTAAAAAAATAAAATCAGCAAACTATATACAGTAATATATTAAAAGGTTAATATATAATATGTTGTGCATATTCCAGAATGCAAGGTTGGGTTAAGATTTGAAAATCAATGCAATTCACTACATTAACAATAAGGAAGAATCTTCTGATTATTTCAGTTGATTTCAGTAATGGTGTTGATCAAATTCATGATAAAAACTCAACAAACTAGGACTAGAAAGGAATTTTCTTAAGCTGAAAAAGGCTATCCCCTCCCAAGAGAACCTTTAGCAAATATCAGACTTAATGGTAAAGTATTCAAAGCTTTCCCCCCGGGATTGGGACCAACACAAGTTTATTAATTTTCTAAGGCTGCCATAACAGAGTACCACAAACTGGGTCACTTAAAATAGCAAAAATTTGTCTCAACGTTGTGGAGATTAGATGTATGAAGCCAAGGTCTTGGCAGGGCCACGTTCTCACTGAAGGCTTTAGGGGAGGTTCCTTTGTTGCCTCTTCCTAGCTTCTGGTGGTTGCCTGCAATCTTTGGCATCCCTTGGTTTACAGACACATCACTCCAATCTCGGTCTGTCTATCCTCTCTTTTTGTCTATCTCTGTCTGTCTATCTTCTTTTTAGAAGGACTTCAGACATATTGGAGTAGAGCACATCCAACTTCAGTATGACCTCATCTTAACTTATTACATCTGCTAAGACTCTATTCCCCAATAGGACCACATTCACAGATACTGAGGTTTAGGACTTCAGCATATCTTTCTGGGGGACATAGTTTAACTCACAAACAAGGACTCCCATTATAGCCACTTCCTTTTGTACTAAAGGTCCTAACCAATGAATAAGGCAAGAAAAATAAATAAAAGATATAAAGTTTAGAAAGGGAGAAATAAAACTGTCATTATTCATGGATGACACAGTTGTCTATGTAGAAAATCCTAAATAATTCACAAATAAATCATTAGAATAAGTTTTTAACAAAGTTTATCTATTCAAAACTAATATCTGAAATTAATTTTACTACAATAGCAAGAAACAGGAAAATGAATGTTTAAAAAGGTATAATTTACAAAAACATAAAAAACCAAACACCTTAAAATCATTCTCATAAAATATGTGTAAGACCTCTATGCAGGCAACTATAACATTTTTGGAGAGAAATTAAAGAAGACCTAAATAAATAGAGGAATATGCCTTGTTCATGAATTGGAAGACTCAATATCACAAATATTCTATCTTTCCAAAATGATCTATAGATGCAATACAATTTCAATCAAAATCCCAGTTTTTGGAAACTGACAAGTTGATTCTCAAGCTTATACAGAAAAGGTCAAAAACAGCCAAAGAATGTGTTGAACAAAGTGAGAAGACCTGTACCACTAAATATGAAGACTTATTATAAAGTTATTTTTATTAAGACAATGTAGCATTGGCACAAAGATAAGCAAGTCAGTGATACAGAATAGAGGACCCACAAACATATCCATGCATGTATGGACACTTGTTCTATGACAGAAATAGCATTACAGAGTAGTGAGTAAAGCAGAGAGTTTTCAATAAATGATGCTGGCAAAATTGGATACTCATACAAAAATAAAATTTGAATTTGACCCCTACTTTGTGCTATGTATCAAAAGAGTTACATGCAAAAAAAAAACGAGTTCATAAACATAAATTTGAGCAAAAGAATATAGCATATAGCTTCCATTCATATAAAGTTAAAACAAAACTAAACCATAGTGTAAGAAATCAGGACTGTGGTTAATTTGGGGAGAAGACAGTGTTAGTCATTGGGAGGGAGTACAAGAGAAGTTTATAGAGAGCTGGTAAATATTTCATTTCTTAGGGAGGATCTAGTTTGTGATAATTCACTGATAATGTGCATTACATTTTGTGTACTTTTCTTTATGTGTATCAATCTTCCCAATAAAAAATTTCTTAAAAATTAGGTTAGACAGCCACATTCATTTATTCATTCAACAAATATTTATCAAGAAATCAGTATACAGAGGGCGCCAAAAATGTATACACATTTTAAGAAAGGGAAAACCTGTATTAAAACTGTAATACTCTATACCAGTGACAAAAGATGAATATAAGTCATGTGTATACGTTTTTTTGGCATTCCCAGTATATCAGGCATTTTACTAGATCTGGGTCATCAAAAGGAATACAGACAGGCGTGCTCCCTGCTCTGGTGGCACTTGCACTCTGATTGAAGACAGACAAATACAATTACAGAAATGAGTATATGTATATACCGTGTTTTACTGAAAATAAGACCTAACTGGAAAATTAGCCCTAGCATGATTTTTCAGGATGCTTGTAATATAAGCCCTACCCCAAACATAAGCCTAAATTAAGATTGTCAGACAGACATGACTGTTTGAATCAATGTAGATTTTTGTACATGAATAAATGAATAAATGTAAATTGTTGGAGCAAAAATTAATATAAGATCCGGTCTTATTTTGGGGGAAACACGGCATATATATATATATATAATTTTTTTTGGAGGGGAAACACGGTATATAATTTATAATCACGCAATGAGGTTAAGTGGTCTGGTACCCTTAGCTGGCTATGAAAAGGAGACTCTTTATTGGGGTACAGGTGATGAAGATATACATTAGCTCCTTCACTGGGTTAAATTATCAAAATACTCAGAAGTGTTCTGCCAACCCCTCAAAAGCTGTGGTTAACCCTTTTATGTATAATAAATGGTTCCAATGTAATTTTAGATCTACTGTTACACGTAGGAATCCTATTTGCTTTCCCAAGGAAAACCTTGGCTTGAAAGTCATGACACCAGCTCCTAAGAAAACCAACACAATACTATCATTAATTTGTAGTTAATTTTGGAGATATTATTCTAGAATTAAAAAAGTTCTTTTGGAGGCTGGCCGAGGGGCGCGATGGTTAAGAGCTGGCTTGGGACGCCAGAGAGCCCGGTTTCAGATCCCACATATTAGGGCCAGTGACACTGCCCTCTACAGCTAAGATGCTGAACAACAGCTCAACCTGGAGCTAGGCATACGTGAGTCGCCGGCAAGGCAATGGTGTAGGCTGCAGCCCCTGCTGCAGAGGGTTGCCATGGGCTACTGGGTGTAGCCAGCAGCCAGCGTGAGCAGCCTTCCGGAAGCCAGTGCTGGGGAAGAGCCCAATGATGGTACCAACTTGGGTCAGTGAAGCAACGTCCTCCACAACTAGACTGAAGAACAAAAGGACAGCAACTTGTCTGTTCCCCTTCCCCCAATCCTCCAGCGCTGTTCCCATTCCCCAATTCCCCAATAAATTTTGGAAAAAAAAAAGTTATTTTGTTTTGAAGTCCTAATTCAAAAAGCATTGAGTTTTAAAATAACATTCTTTATTATAAAATACTTACATGCTCAATGTAGAACATCTGGGGAATCAGGAAATGACAAAGAAAACAAAAATCCATAATTCTATCATCATGGCTACTGTAAATGTTTTGGTGCATTTGTTTCCATTTTTAAAATGCCTGTATGTGTATCTGCACAGTTGAAATCAGAATTTCTACGTGATTTTGCAACTTGAGTTTTCCATTTAAAAATATAATGGGCATTTCCCCCATGTCATTACATAATCTTCCTAAACATTATTCTTAAATTTGTAAAAATTACATCCCCAACTTGAATCATCTCAGTGAGAGATCATTCGTCATGCGTAATCGAGTTAACCCATCCAGGGGTCCGGAATTTCTGAGAGCCCTCCAAAATTTAGTGACAGGTTTCGATGCAACAGTGGAACCTGGCAGCTAAGGCCGAGGCTACTCCAAGGGCAGCTGAGGTCACACACAGGGACAAGACCGCCTAGCGGCGCGCAAATTGCCTCGCAGACCGGGAGCCACGAGAGTCCTCGACTTTCCGTGGGGTTTAACACTCGCCTACATGTTAAGTTCTGGAGATGCCCCAGGCTCACTCCTCAGCTCTTGGGCTCCGGGCGGAGCCTGCCTCTCCCGGGTACCGCGCCCGAGCTGTGGGGCTCGCTCCCGGCTTAGCGCCCAGGGCACCCACTGCAGGCGCGGACCCGGCGGCGCCCTCTGCAGCGCGCTTCTCGGAGTCCTTAGTTCGGTCACTAGGCTGAACTTGGGAGGAGCGCGCCCGGGGTTCCGGCCCTGCCCCGACTACACCATCCCGATCCCCCGCACCTCCCCTCCCCGCCCCCGAGAACGCGCAGGCGCAGCCCGCCGGGAGTCCCGCCACCAGTCCCCCAGCCTGCGGAAGCGCCGGAGTCGCTGCGGCCACTGCCACAATTCGCCATGGGCCCGAGTTCCCGGCTGCTGCTACCTCTTGTGCTTTGCGTGGGGCTCGGCGCGCTCATGCCTTCTGCGAGGGCCTCGGGCGTTCGCAAACGAGGCCCCTCGGTGACGGCCAAGGTGACCGAGTGGTGGGCTGCAACTTCCCCTGTGCGGGCCAGGGGGGTGGGGGAGCCTTGGGGACTGGGACGTCTGTGATGGGTGGCGAAGAGTGAGCCGAGGATGGGAGGCAGTGGCGTGGCTGGCTGTGGGGGGTGGCGCTCTCCGGGAAGACTTGGGGACGCTGGCCGGAGTCCCAACCCTCCCCGGCCGCCGGCTATTTGAACTTAATCTCCTGGGTCCTCGGTCCAACGTGACCAGCTCAGGGGCTAGGAGAAGCTTCCGGAACCGGTGGGCCCTTTCTCCAGGAAGGAGACATTCCTTCGGCGTGGCGGGGGCTCGGGAACAGAAGCAGGAAGACTGCGGGAAGGACGGGATGGGCGGAGGAGACGCGCTCCGAGCCCAAGGGTGGCAGCTGGGCCGCCCGCTGCGGATGACACTAGGTTTGGGAGCGCTCGGGGCCAGCCCCTGACGCGGCGGTGTCCCGGCAGGCGTTACCATCCGTGCTCAAGGAGAGACTGTCCCGTATTGAGGAACCTTCGTCCTCCCTTGGGAGGGAGAAGTGCGCTTGTAGTAGACTTAAGCGGCTGCTGGGCAGACCCTGGGCTTGGGATGGTGCTGGCGGCACCTGTATGACTGAATGCCGGCCTGTAAGTCTCGGTGGGGGGAAACTTCCATGGACTGCATCTTGACGGCGTCTGTTCTTTTTTCAGCATATTTACCCAAGGTTCTAGAAGATAATGGCAGGGTGCTGGGAGAGAGAGGGAGGGAGAGGGGAGGAAGGGAATGATTTGCTACCATTAATCACCACTTCCAGAAAACTTAACTGGCAGTAAGTAGTGTCTTGGAATCTGGAAGGAGGGGCAGCTGCAAGTAGTCTTAACCAGTCCGGTGTTTGCCAGTGGGAATGATACTGTCCAAATAGCAGAATGCTTGCATCTACCACAGACCCCACCCCAGGAGGGGGGCGGGTAAGGGGGTGAGAGGGGGGAGGTTCAGCCCAACGTCTAATGTAGCCTAAGAGGGCCTGTCTTGCTGTGTGTGTGAGAGAGACACTTGGTCTTATTCCCAGCTCCTTGCTCTTTTCCGCATATCCAGTTTTGGGAAATGGCTTGAACAGTCCACAGAGCCGAAGGAGTGGGAGGGGAGCGTCTTTCAGTCTGCAGACATATTTGGGTCTTTTAGGATATAGCCATAAATTTAAAATTCATAGAATTATGAAATGATGAAGGAAATAAACCCTAATATAGATGGGGTGACATTAAAAAAATACTTGAAAAATAAGGAAACCCAGCCTGGCCAAGACTTGGGGAGGCAAGGGAAGTGCCTGTGCAAAGGCCTCCAGACAGGAAAGCATCCTCTCCTGTTAAGAGGATGGGTTGCCTGAGACAGTCTGGCTTCAGTGCAGGGGTGAGGGGGGAGTGGCTTGAGATGAGGTTGGGGACTGAGCAGCAGCAAGATCAGGTAGGTCACTTCGAGGTCACTGTTAGGAGTGTGCGTTTTGAGGCAACTGCTCTTATAATTTGAGGTCTTATTCTAAGTGTAGGTTAGAGCCTCTGAAGGGTTGTAAGCAGGGGTTTGACAGGATCTCCCATACGTTTTTACACCATTACTGTGGTCGCTCAGTGGAGAGTGAACTGGGAGGTCATTCTGGGCTCCATGCCAGAGTCCAGATGGTGGTGGCTTGGATTTGGGCGGTCATCCTGGAAATGGGGAGCAAAGGAGGGGCTTGAAATAGATTTTGGAGGTATAACAAGACTTGCTAGCAGTTTAGAAAGAGGTAGCGGGGAAAGGATTAGGCTTGCCAGATAAAATACAGGATGCCCAGTTAAATGTGAATTTCACACAAACACTGAAGGATTTCTCAGTGTGAGGACATCACCAGCAATACTGAGGAATGAACTTCATCTGGGAAGTTTTAAACCTGCCACTGCAGAGCCCCGCCCCAGAGCAAGTCAATCACAGCGCCTGGGGTTGTGCAGCCTGGGCTGGGAACCTGCAGAAGAGGAAGCCAGGAGAGGAGGAAGCTGGTGGCTGCAGGAGGGGAAGAGGCCGAGCATCTTAACCCCTAGTTTAGGGGGCTGTCACTGGGGATGTTTTCATGTGCTCTACTCTGAGATTCTGTAGGCGAGTCTTTTATAGATTCGACTCTGTTGAAGTAATTACTTTTCCAGTGAACTTTTTAAACAACAAAATCTATTGGAAAATGGAGACATTAAAAATTATTTCTCTGCGTGTAGAAAAGTAGATTAATTGGCCACTGCTCTAGTTTTTGTTTTCCCCAGCTGCCTTTTCTTTTTCCTCTGATTTCGGTTAAAAATGGAAATCTAAATGAGAGAGGTGTGAGGTGCTGTTCCCCTGCAGGGAGGGCCCTTTAAATGGCACTCACCTGGTCTAGGCATCCTGCTGCCAGGCCACTGCCTCAGCTTCCTGCCCAGCCAGAGAGGCTCAGTTCTGGGCTCTGGCTCACTGATCTCAAAATCCACCGAACTGGCATTTGCAGCCCCGTGTTTTCCAGCAGAGCCATGGGTTCTGTGCAGAGTGAGGCACCTAGAGTGTAAAAAACAATGCTGTCATATTCCCAGCTGCACCCTCCTCATGGCTTGCTGGCACTTTCTACACCATGGAGTGGCCACAAGACTCAGGCTGGGTGATCTGGGGCAAGTTATGGAATGTCTCTTTATAAAATGGAGATGGAAGTAATACCTACCTGCGTGGGTTTTGCATATTAGATGTGATAAAGCAGGTAAAATGGTTAGCTCGGATTAGATTCCGGATTTCAGAGGTCAATTGTGAGTGTTATTTGTTATTAATCCTACTGTGGCAGTCAGGGACAGCCCTGAAAAGAGTCACCTGTTTTACAGATGAGGAACAAGAGCTCAGAGTTTAGTGAACTTGCTGGAGGTCCCGTGGCCGGTTCGTGGAGCAGCTGGGGTTGAGAACAGCTTCCTTGACACCACATCTCATATAAGTGGTGTCTTTCCCAGCGACTGGAAATGGAAGCAGGATTAGCCCTACAGGGGTTTGAATCAGGCTATGTGAGTGCCTCTTCCCTCTTCTGCCACCTCTTCCCACCTCCAGTGCCCCATAATTTTCAAGTGACTTTCAAGGGCAGCTTGAAAAAAGATGTGACTGAGGTGCCCACTCCTGAAGCGCAACCCAGAATCCAAATGCCACCTTTTCCAGGAAGCCCGCCCTGATCTTTGTAGATAATCACTAACTTTAACCCTGACATTTTGTACTTGTCCTCTCATAAAACCCGATTTCCCATTATAGCTACTCGTATACATGTTTTCTCTTCTGTGGGACTTTAAACTACATGAGGGTAGGGGCTTTGTAGCCCCCACCCTGTGTTGAGCACCGGGCCTACTCCCAAGAGCACACAGCAGAGAGGGCGTATACAGTGAGAGAGTGTGCCCGCCAGCCACGCTGGCCCGTCTTGACTCTGTCTAGGTGTGTGTGTGCCCCGGTCCTCATTTAGGGTCACCTGGCATCGAGCTATGTAGCATTTTTTGAGTCTGTGCTTGAGTCACAAGTGTGCTGGGCACAGGGTATCGAAAAACACCTTTTCTACCCCGCACGCGTTCCCTGCCTAGATTGAGAGGGACGTATTAATGATAAATCACAGTCTAATTGGATGCAGCCTTGGGTTGAAATTTTGGCTTTCACACTCCTGATTGGGAAACTTTGGTAAGTCACTTAGCCTCCCTACTCCTCACTTTTCTCATTTGTAAACTCATGAGAATAGTACCTTCTCCTCCCCGCAAGGATGTGGTGAGGATTAATTATAAAAGACGTGCAGGGCCAGCCGAGTGGCGCGTTGGTTAAGAACTGGCTTGGGATGCCAGAGGGCCCCGGTTCGGATCCCACATATGAGGGCCAGTGACACTGCCCTCCACAGCTAAGATGCTGCACAGCAGCTCGACCTGGAGCTGGGCTGCCATGGGTCGCCCGTGACGGCGTAGGCTGCTGTCCCCTGCTGCAGTGGGCTGCCATGGGCTACCATGTGTACCCCACCTCCAGTGTGAGCGGCCAGCAGCCGCCGTGAGCGGCTGTCCAGAAGCCAGCGACTGATCTGCCTCGCCCAGCGCAATGATGGTGCCAACTTGGGCCAGTGAAGCAACATCCTCCACAACTAGACTGAAGAGCAAACCAACAGCAACTTGTCTGTTCCCCTTCCCCCGATTCCCCAGCACTGTTCCCCTCCCCCAATTCCCCAATAAAAATCTTTAAAAAAAAAAAAAAAGACGTGCAGGTAAAGGGCATTGAGACGCCACTGACTAGGTGGTTTGTTTCCTTCCCTCTTCCTTCCTCCTTTCCCTCCTCCAGTTTCCCCCCATTACTGAGATGCTCCCCCCCCCCCGCCCCACTCCATCCTTACTGCTCCCTCAGCCACTACCCCAGGGCAGGCCATATTGCCTCATTCTTGAACTAGTCTAAGAGCCTTCAGATTCTCCTCCCGCCCCCCAACCCACGCCCGTCTCACCTCCACTCGAGTAATATTCCCAAAGTCTCCCCTTCGGTCCTGTTTTTTGCCTTCTCTCCATTGCCTAACAAAACCCAGATCTCAGCCAGCATCCTTCTTCTGCCTTGTGGAACTGGTGAGAGTCCCTTCCCAGCCACTGTGTTCCTTCTCTGCACACAGACCACATCTCCTGCCTTGGTGCTTTGGTTCCAGAAAGAACTCTGCTTGTGCCATTCGTGTCCCTGGAGGCTGCATCCTTCCTTCCAGGGCTGCCTCCCATCTACACCTCCAGGATGCCTGGGCACTTGTCACATGCCGCCTTGTACTATAGTTCCTTTACTTGTCCTGTCTCTGGATTTAAGCTACCTTAGGAAAGGGACCCTCTGGTGTAGCTTATAACTTCACATTGTCTTTTACATAGATTTTTGAGAAACATTTACTTGTCAACTAAATAGGATTTTATTTTATCATTTCATTAGAGTTGGGGAAACTTTGCTATGTTTTCTTGCCATCACTCATGAAGTTGAAGGACGTGGCAGTTTGGAAAAAAAAATCATATTAACACATGTGCTAGGCCATGTGTAAGAAAACAAGGTTTTTATGGAAGAGTTATGCCAGCTGAACAGACACATCTTTTCGTGTTCTCACACTGCCTTCCCAGGCTGCATTCTCTCTGCTTCCTAAACATTCACAGGCTTTATTTGCCCTTCTTTATTTTAAAAGCCTGGCTGGCTCTTCTAGTGTCTCATACTGCATTTCTTTAAATTTATGTCCCTAATTCTTTTCCCGGTTCTGCTTCATTGTTGCCCATTATAGAATTTAGTCCTAGGCTTGGAAATCCCTTTGGAGAAACCAGCTCTGTGGGACCAGGCTCATGCAAGTGGTTAACTGCAGCCTTGTTGCATTGCTCTCTACTGCATTGCCTCATCTCAAGGGCTTCCATACACCCTATAAAGTCCTACTATATAAATAATAATATGGTTTTTGCAGCTTTGGCCATGTAGAAATTGTAAAATGCCACATGGAACTAAATATCACATCACCCTGTGACAGATGTAGTGATGTATTGGCAGAAGCTCTTGTCTTGAACTGAAGCTTGACAGTCTTTACTTCATGATTTTTCTAAACTGTAAGACATCTTTTTTCTTTGACAACCCTTCTTGTATTTTTTTTTAAAGCCATTTCTTGAATGTCTTTTTTTACCCATTCAAACAGTAAATTGGTTCATATAATCTAAACTAGCTAATGGAAAGCCTTCGACTCCTTGGCCTTTTCAAGTGTTCTGTCTCAGAATCATCTTCACACAGTGATTTGTGAAGCAAAATGTATATGATTTTATTTCAGTTGAAACATTAAAAACAAAAGTCTAGGAGAACTTTTAAGGTTTATCTGCAAAAAAAGTGACTCACACTCACTTCTGGATATGTGTTTTCTTCTGTTCTAAATATGTTGTGACAGAAAAATAACACATTCTACTTGTGTACTATGATGACTGAATCCAGTGTTTAAGTTCATAGGGTAAATGGTTTTGCCTGGACCTGAGTGTAAAGTTTGCCGTACTTTGGATGAGGCTGGAGACCTGGTGCCTTACTGTGCTTGGAAGTGAGTGGCAGGCTTTTTGGAGGGCTGCCTTGTATTTTGATCATCTTTTGCAGTCCCCTTGACAGCAGACATCAATTGAGAACTCATTGGGAATTTGGCACTGTTTGAAGGTTAAAAAAAAAATAAATCTGGATGGTTAACCTACTTCTCTCCTCACCAATTTTTTCCTCCTGTCAAGAGTAGAGAGCCTTACCTTTCAGAAGAGCAACAGTTTTCATTCTAACTTTCATTCACAAAGCTGCGAAAAGGGAGGTAGCAGCAGTATTTGTCTGGAGTGTGTGAGGGAGTAGAATTCTTGAAGACTTTACTGTCCAACTCTGACAGTGTTGAGCCAAACTTTAACCCAGTACCCACCACAGTGCCTGGCCCACAGGTGGTGCTCAATAAATGTTTGTTGAATGAATATTTGTGAGTGACATGAACCCACAAAATGGCTTTAGAGCTCCTTTAACTTATATCATGTTCCTCCATGACCCCTTGTAAAGTCCTGGTGGGCAGGGCTTTCAGATGTAGATCAATTCTCAGATTTTAATTTTCACTTACCTTGCATTTGTAGCTTTTCCACATTATAACCTTCTGCTCTGTCTTTCAAACACATGCAGGTTTTCTTTGATGTGAGGATTGGAGACAAAGATGTTGGCAGAATTGTGATTGGCCTCTTTGGAAAAGTTGCTCCCAAGACTGTGAAAAATTTTGTCGCTCTGGCAACAGGAGAGGTATGTCTCAGTTTTATTTCCTTTGTACACAAATTGGATCTTCCTTCTTCTAAGCCAAGCATAAAGATGTCTTCTGGGAAAATAAGTATTAAATTAGTAGGTCAGATGAACCTGAGACATCTTATAATAGTTTACTTCATTTTCCTATAAAATCTGTATTCTTCAGGCACTCAGGTGTCCTTAGGCTTCTAGAAATTGAGAGGAAACAATCATCAAGTGAAAATGCAAATTGTTTTCTTTGTACTTTTCATGTTAATACTTTACTTGCATTGTTTATTTATTTATTTATTGGTTTGGTCAGTTCATGATAAATTTCTATCAGTAAATATTTTGAATAATTTCCTCATTTTGTCATTTCCAGATAAACACTGGGGTTTATCTTTCAGTATGGGTTCTATCTACTTGTATATTCAATTGACATACTCTCTTTAGAAAGGATATGGATATAAAGGAAGCAAATTTCATCGCGTCATCAAAGATTTCATGATTCAAGGAGGAGACTTCACCAATGGAGATGGCACTGGCGGTAACATTGTCTTTTGCATTTTTCCTTTCCTGCTTAATAAATTGAAACCTAAAATGAAGCTAATATATTCACTCAGCATATTGAATTCCTAGATTTAAGGAACAAAATCATAAAGGTCACCTAACTAAATCTTTCGGAAGGATAGATTTTGGGGGGCGGTGGGGGCAAATCTTGGTAGAGACGAATGAGTGAGGCTTCCTAATTTTGAACTGTATTGCTTTGGTGTTCATTATCTTTCCGGAGTACACATACATTCATTTAATAGACTATTTTGCAGTTATTAAAATGCTAGACTACTTGTATGTAGCAGTACAGAAAAATGTCTGTCATAGGAAGGAAAGATAGACTGTAACACTGTGTACGCTGGGGCGGCAGCCGGTTACAATGTGGAAGCTGGTGGAGGGGGGGGGGACTGGGAGGGCCTTCTAGAATGATGAGACTGGTATTTAGGTGGCAGGATTACAGGTGAATTTACCCCCTCCTTTGAAAATGCTTTCATTTTATTGTCAGCTTTTTCAATAATAAAAAAATTAAGTAGTAGATGAGTTATCAAAATTATAATAAATTAATTTTATAAAGAAAGTTAGAGTTCTATAAAGTACAAATAATCAAATTTATAGACTTTCACATCACCCTGAGTTGACTATTTCTTTTTGGGGATTCCAGCTCCCCACCTCCCTGGGCTATTTTCCCTCAGAAATTTAGTGAGTTCTTTTCCTGAATACCCATCGCATATAGAACGACACAGAATTTCCATTTATTTTAGGTTTAAGATTTTTAATTTAGCAAATACCAGTTTGGGTGGATATTACATTGCTAACTTTTTAAAGAAACCTAGGCCATTTTCCAGCACGACTGCCAATTTTACGTTTATTGCAATGGTTTATTTATAACAAAATGACTACCATTAAATGGTTGGATTTGTCAGGCACTTCAGGAAGAATACTTTCAGTCCTTGCAAAAATGCTGCAAGGTGTGGGGATGGAGCATGGAGCAGGTTACTTGGGATAATGGGGTTGGGAAGGACGCTCAAGGAAGCAACCCCAGCTGCTACAGAGCTGGGACTCCCTGGGAAAGCCTGCAGCTTGAGGATGGTCCCCTTGGGACTGGGCCTCACTGTCCTGCCCTGGGGCCCAGCAGAAATGATGACTGAGCCTTACGGTGCCCCCTTTTGTACATTTCTCTCTCTCTCTCTGCCCTCCCTGCCCAGAGTGTGTGTGTGTGTGTGTACGCATGTGCACGTGTACAAGTGTGTGCGCATGTCTTGAGTTAAAATTCTCCGAGTTTTGAAGGTAGGACCTTGTGGATCCCTTAACTTACCCAGACCCCTCTGTGGGCAGAGCTTTCCTGCTAGGTCAGCTCATATGTCACTGAGCAACCAGCTCGAAATTGCTCGCCTCTGATAGTCACTGTAGTCCTAACCGAGCCAAGATTTTCAGGTTGGCAACAATGGATAAGGAGCCCTGCAGGAGGGGAGGAGGTGGGCATGACAGGCACACAAGGTGTTGGGGGATGCAGCCTACGCTTCTCATGGTCTATGCTGTTGTCTTATGGGGAAGATGTGTTCTGCCCGACCTGCGGCTTTGCTGGGGCTCCAGCTGACGTGCCTGCTTTTGGTTCTTCTGCTTAAGGTTGGACCATTGGGTGCTCTCAACTGCCAACACCCTCTGTATCCTGATAAGCCCTGAAGTCACCGTGCCCAATGACTTCCAGGCTGGCTGCTACTGCTCAGAGTGCGGAGGCAGGACAGAGCACTGGCTTTAGAGTCAGAAAGTCAGGTGGTCAAGCTCTGTTCTGCTGTTTGCAAGTTTTGTAACCTCTGTTTCCCATGGCAAAACGGGATTGAGAATACGGTTGTTTTCAGAATTAGCTAAGGGTGTATATTCAGTGCTTAGTGCACTCTCATTGGATGCTGAGGAAGAGGTGTCCCAGGACAAGTGCCCTGAACCTCAGGGCGGAGATTAAGCCACGAAGATACCTCCTCCACCCTTCCATCTGGTTTCCCCGAAGCCATTCTGCCCTTCAGTTTCTTCTCATTTCCGAGTGAATCACTGACCTGCTTGGTCAGGGTTTGGCCCTGGGCTTGAGGCCAGAGGGTATCCTCATATCTTGTGTCATATTTAAGGCTTTTGTTGGTGTGTTTGTTTGTTTCACTTCCTGGTGCTTTCAGGAGTGAATTTTTTGCTCTCCTTCTTATGTTTTACCATCTTTTCCCCATTCTCCACCTCTTATAGGGTCCTATTAACCCATTCTACTAAAACCGTGTTTCCCTGTGAAGAATTTACTTTCATATGACATCTGTTGATTCTCCTGTTTTTTGTTTTGTCTCACCAGGCATAAGCATTTATGGTGAGACATTTCCAGACGAGAACTTCAAACTGAAGCATTATGGCATCGGGTGGGTCAGCATGGCCAACGCTGGGCCTGACACGAATGGCTCTCAGTTCTTTATCACCTTGACCAAGCCCTCCTGGTTAGATGGCAAACATGTGGTATTTGGAAAAGTCATCGATGGAATGGTAACTTGATATATTACTTTTTTCTTGTTCAAAGCTTTATGTTTATAATGTGAGGGCTTTCAGTGATTTATTTTACTCTTAAAATGTGCTTGTTAGAGATCCGTCATATGCTGACTTCCCTCTTCAAAGGTGAACAAATAATATATGGTATAGCATTTTAATTGTTAGGAACACTTAGGCAGAAGGTAAGGGACTTGACATGAGAAGTTGAGTACTTCAGTTAATTTATCTCACTACTTGATATAAATGGAGATGATTTTTAAGGCAACCGAATAAAACTAGGGCCCTGTATATGCATACCATGGAATATCATTCTGCCTTAAAAAGGAGGGAAATCCTGTCACGTGGTACAACATGGATAAAACTTGACAGTGTTATGTTAAGTGAAATAAGCTAGTCATAGAAAGACTGGATGATTCCACTTATATGCGGTATCTAAAGTAGTCAAATACATAGAAACATAAAGTGGAATGGTGGGTGCCAGGCGTTAAGGGGAGGAGGAAATGGGGAGTTGGTGTTCAATGGGTATAGGCTTCCGGTTCTGCAAGATGGAAAAATTCTGCAGATGAGTTGCATAACCATGTGACTATATTTAACACTGCTGAACTATACTCTCAGAAATGGATAAGATGGTAAATATTATGCTATGTGTTTCTTACCACAATTAAAAATACAGAGGGTGCCCCCCAAAATGTATGCACATTTTAAGAAAGGAAACAGCTACATTAACATTGTAATAATATATATCGATAACAAAAGATGAATACAAATCATGCGTGTACATTTTTTTGGCACCCCCGGTATTCATAAAAATCCCAGAGCCCCATGCGGTTCAGCCCACATACAAGTCTCCTTCACAGTATAGCAACCAAAATACTAAAGATAATTCACATTTATGCTGGTATGTCTCAAAAAATATCACAGGGGTCCAATTCAAATCCATAGGCACACTTCTTAAAATCCTCATTCTTTTCCACTTTCAATATTTCCTTTCCTTAGCAACTGCCCAAAGTAGCATTCTCAGCTCCTGAAATGGCAATTGTAAGGTCTGCCCAACCCAACCCTGAACTATCCTTGACTCCCTTGCCCTCGTCCATATTTCGTTTTGTTTTGTTTTCATGTGAGTTGCTCTGCCTCCCTCATCCAAACACAAATAAACCAATCTCATTCATTGCAATTTTTCCACAACATCCACTTGCTGTCCCGATTCTACCCAACAGAAGGCCAGGAAATGAGCCTGAGCCAGCCGACTCAGAATCTACCTTACAAGGCAAGGAAGTGTTCCGTCTGAGCCGTCAAAGATAGAATTCTTGTGAGCAAGTGGGATGGGAGGGAAATAGGGCAAACACATATCACTTAATATATTGCTTTATATCCCATCCCAATAAAGGACATGCCTATATTCTCACGAGCCACAATGGTCCTCAGAAGAATCAATTCTTAAATAATAATGAATGCCAGCCCTCCTCAAGTCTCTTATTGAACTTTGCTTTTAAAAGAGCTAACCATGGGCATGTGTGTGTTAAACTAATCTGGGTTTTTGACCACAGGGCCTAACCTGGTTCTAAATAGTTTAAATGTAAACCAATTCATTCAATTAGTATTTCTGAATACAACATCATGCTAAGCAATAAGAAAACTGAAGTTTTGGGTTTTCTTCTTCGGGTTGTGGTTTTTCTTCTAGTCCTCTAGATCGTATGTCTTATTGCCCTGATTGATAGCAGCCACTTCCTTCCACCCACTGGCACACATCCTGGGACACCTGCTGCCTGGTCTTAGAGGAACGGTCCTGAACATTTTATGGCTTATAAGCTTCTCTGAGAAACTAATGAAAACTGTAGACTTTCTCCAGAAAAAAAAAAAAAAAGTGTGTATGTTTCACACAGGTTCAGGGAATTTAGAGAATCTCCTGACTTGTAGCCCTTGATTCTCCCAAGATGACCTGGGATGCTTTGTCACCTCTGCAGTTTCTGGACCTCATCTCAGACTTACAGAAGCAGAACCTCCAGAGGTGGGCCCACAAATAAGCATTTTGCAATTGTGGCAAAATATCCATAACACAGAAATTTCCATTTTCACCATTAAATAAGCATTTAAAAAAAAAAATGCCACAGGTAATTCAGATGTGGAGCCACTGCTTTAGGTACACATATGCGTGCCACACAGTCTATTTAGAAATCTATATTATTACTGGAAGAATGCTTCCTTTTTATCTTAAATGGACCTAACTCACCCAGAGGTTGGATTAGTTGACACCATGTCCAAGGCACTCGGACACTCTGTTGCCACTTTTGTCTCTGCCCTGTTTGGGAAACCCACCACAAGCCACCTTTCCTACTCCTTGGCCAGTCCTTCCTCCTTTGACGTGACACATGAGGTGATACACGGACCTGTTTAGTCTTCTAGGGTAGAGAAAGGAGCTTTTACACCACTGTGGGGTTGGGGTTATATTAATATTAGACTCAAACTATAGATTAATGGCTTGAGTCAATTTTAAAATGGGCAAACCCAGATGTGGCTCCATTTCTAAATCTGCTTTTTGGCCTATTTTATTATGCCTAGACCTGTTAATAGAGTGGAGCTGAAATTGACTCAAACTCCATGTTAACGGTTACATTGGGGTATAACAAGTGAGCAGAGAAATACCTTTTATTACAGATTGGTGTTTCCAAAAATATCTAATTTTTCTTTCAGAATATAAAATGCTAATAAAAAGAAGTGAGGAAATACACACATATATTCTCTAATTAGCAAGGGAGAGGGTAAATTTTATTCTGTTACATATACATTTCCTGAATATTCTAAGTTTTCCATAGTTAGCTTGTATGGTTTTTGTAATCATTAAGGAAAAAAAACAACAACTTACTTTCCACTTGGGCTTTCAGACTTGGCATTGATTTCACCTTTTGATCGTTAAGTTGCTGGTCAGAAGTGAATCGGGGGTCTGCTTTTCTCTCACCAGACAGTGGTCCACTCCATAGAACTTCAGGCAACTGATGGGCATGACCGTCCACTCACCGACTGCTCCATCATCAACAGTGGCAAGATAGATGTGAAAACACCCTTCGTGGTTGAGGTCGCTGATTGGTGATGCAACTGGCAGAAAACAAGGAACATACCCTATCAAGGATTGTGTGGGTGTGTGTGTGCCTGCGTGTGTGCGTGCATGTGTGTGTGTGTGTGTGTGTGTGTGTATTTTGATTCTTCAAAGTTACTGTTTTGCTTTGTCTTTTTACTTTCTTCTATTTCCTACTCTATATCATAGGAAAGTTATAATAATCAACCACTCAGAGTTTGCTTTGCATGAATTTTGGTAAATCACTTGTTTAGGGACTTTGCACTTAAAAAAACATACCCCCTTCCTTCAATGGTGCTATTTTTATACTAGAAAGCTTTGTATTAGCTATTTTCTTTTGAAGCACACAATCAATTATTTTGCTGAATTAACTGTGATCCCCAGGTTAAGTGATGCTGAATATTTGTTAGAAAAAGATGGGGACATGAAGTTTATTATTTTATATTTAAACAGAAATTCTTTTCAGGTAAAGGGAGATTTTATTATAATCTGACATATGTCATAGGGACCTTTACCTGATGAAAGATGCTTTGGTGTTCTCTCTATTAAATACTTTTTATATAGATCAACTCTTTTTGCAAGCCTTTTTTTAAAGTTCTTTAAAAATTAATGTACAAAAATATACACACTCTAATGTTAACAATGAACAGATTAGAGAGGATTCTGTAAGTCAAAATACTAACACAATTGGATAATTTGGAATGGAAATACATAGAAATGATGCCCATCCACATCCCAAATATTTGAGCTGATTATTCACTAAGTTTTACCAAATGTAACATGTTTAAAATGTTCCCTTGAGTCCATTTGTAACTAAAAGGAACCTTTTTTTTTTCATTTGCATAATCGGGATGAAGAGTCAGGCTGTACTTAAACTAGATGGGGAAGTAAAATCCTGTTGGTGCTTTGTTGTAACATACCTGTGCGCAATCTCTTTGCAAATGGGAGTGGCATCTGTTAGAAAAGGCCCCATTGCTTCTCCTCTAGGTCCCATGCAATAAGGGTCCAAAAAAGTTCCATCTCTTTAGCTGTATTCTAAGAAAATTGCTTCAACAAGAGAGGACATGAAATGAGCATTCTTACTGCTGATGGGATGTTAATCACTCAGCCCTCTTAGAGAGCAATTACAAAAAATTTTTTTTTCCAAGAAAAATACATTAAAGGCCTTTGCTGTGGCAGGTACCCATTTTGAATTTTGGGGATGCAGCCATGGACAGCAAGAAAGGGGTCTCATGGAGCTGACATTCTAGTATGAAGACAGAATAAAGAAGGTAATCAATGGAAAGGGTGAAGAGCACTGCAAAGAAAATAGGCCCATGTTTGCTGGAGAGGCTGGGAGGCACGTACTGTTCTGTGGCCAAGCAAGGCCTCCTGAGGGGACATGCAAGCTGAGGCCTGAAGAAGAAAGATGAGGCATTGGTCAGGTGAGATCTGCCACATGGGCCTTCCAGGCAGAGAGGGAAGAGAAAGGAAGAGGGCCCCGAGGTGAGAAGGAGAGGGTTCCAGGGCAGATGACGAAGGCAGCATGTGAGAGCCCGAGAGGTTGGAGAGGTAAGGCTGAGACCGGATCATTTTGCGTCTGGGGTGCCAGGGCAGGTTCTTTTATTTGCAGTACAGTAGGGGACTATCATTTTAAGTTGGGAGGGGCATGATGTGGTCTGCACTTGAGAAAGATTCTTTTGTCTGCCACGAGGAGAATTTTCATAGGGAAGCTAACGTACCTATCAAGAAACTCAAAACATTCATATCCTTTGAAGTCCCACTCCTGGGAATTTGCCTTAGAAAGTGATCTGACATTGTAATGGGCATCCCTGTTTTAGTCAGTCCAGCAACCAGTCCCCCATGTTCTGGGGATGGCCGCCCATTTTCTCTGAGGAATCACACCATTCCCTCCAGCAGTTTTCTGTCCTTTGGGTAGGCTGACCCTATGGATTCATACACACCTGGCCTGGCCAACTCATTCATGAACTCACTTGATAAATATGTATTGGGTGCTGTATACAGCTGCAGCGTCGGTCCTCATGGCTCCCACAGAAGGAGACAATTCACACATACACATGGAGAGAGAGCAGAGCATCAGGGAGTGGCGCGCCTCTGAAAAGGAACAGAGCAGGGCGAGAAGACAGAGAGTGATGAGGTGGTCAGGGAAGTCCCTCAGCGTGGCTGAAGGAAGGGAGGGGGCCGCAAGCTGTGGGGACATTCGGGGAAGAGTGTGAGGCAGGGAGAGCAAGAGCAGTGGCCCCGGGTGAAGGGCAGACTGGTGGGTTCAAGGAGCAGCAGAGTCCAGTCTGCGTCAGCAGGGCGGTGTGGAGTGAGGTGGGAGACGGAGCAGGGGTGTCCTGTAGGCCAAGCAGACCGTGGCCTTCCCCCGGCCCTGGCGACTGGCCCAGGGATCGGTGTTTGACCCCGCTCTGTTGGTGAACCTCAACTGTGGGGCATCTGCTGGAAGTATTGGGAAAGAGCCGCTGTCTTCAGTCTGGGAGGCGCTAACAGAGCAGGCCTGAGAAGACAATCAGCACAGAGGGAAGCTGCTCTGGGAGACAGAAAGATGGATTCCTGGAGACACCACGGAGCCCCTGAATCCAGCCATGCCTGAAGCCAGTTTCCACTCACAGCTTTTTAGCTATGCAAGCTAATACATTTCCTCTTTTGCTTAGGCCAGGGTGAATTGATTTTTTGTGTGACTTGCAACTTAAAGTCTTTGTCTAATATGTCAATATTGAAAAAGTTTTATGTATAAAAGATGTGAATTACAGAATTAGGATAGCAAAACACTGGAAGCAACTTGAATGTCCAAAATGGTTATAAAACATACATCCCATAATAGAACAGTATGCATTCATTAGGATATGCTACAGAACTTGAGTCACAGGAGAAAATGGTTGTTTTCAAGATAAAAGTAGAAATTCTATCTGCGGCATGATCTCAATTATGTAAATACAGACTGATAAAGCAAATGCATCAAATGTAAATGAACATAAAGCAAAAGCAAAGGGTGGGATTTTTTTTTTTAAACTTTTACATTTGTGTTTTCTACTTTTTTCAGTCTTCCAATATTTTTCTAGGGGACATTTCTTTTTAATAGTTAGAAAAAGAACACTTAAATTTTAAGGTAACATGGGAAGAAATTGGAAATAAATGTCTTCTTAGACATAGGAAGTGCCCTGAGCTTGAGGCTCAAATGTCAGGGAGCACATAAGCCACTGTTCCCCCCCATGCACAAGGACGCGTACTTTATACCGTATTTGCCACCTAGGTTTTTCATTAGTATGAGCATAATGACATCTCTCTAGCGACAAATCAAAAAGTGGTTCATTTGCCAAGTGCTGATATTCTGAGAACACTAGTGCAGATAGTAAACTCGCAGGCTGTCTATCATACCAGATTGCCAAAAAGCTAATGACACACTCCCTGGTAAAAGCATTTTATTTCTTGTACACAGAGGGTCAGGCCTTATACCGAAAACAGCAGCAAACTGATGACTGTACACTATTGCTTTACAAAAAGTCTGTGCTTTCTGCAAAAGCTTTTGAAATGAATAGTTCACCATTTTGCCAATCATGCTGCTAGAAAGACAAAGATGTAGCCAAGGGCATGTGTGAAATCAGAGGGAATTCACAATGGCCACCACCACTGTGCCCAAATTATTACAATTTAGTCTTGAATCACTTTAATAAACCAGTTAAACCATTTTGGTATCCTTAGCCATAGGTTGTTATGCTAAATGCTAATTTAGTTAATTTTCTGGATCATCAAATAAGAATTTGGTAAAATTGATTCTTGGGTTAGATTAATTAGAATGACACTTTGTAAATTACTGTCCAGTCCATTTTTGATGAATTCTTAGGTTTTGACGAGAACTCACCAACTGCATTTTTTTTTTTTTTAGTTTAGCCGTTTTGAGTTACATAAAGACAAAAACATGGGAAGGCTTTTATAGCAGGAAAAGGATTTGTTTTTGTTTTTCAACATTCCTATAATTCAGACAGCTGAAGAAATCTTTGATCTGGAAGGCTTAGAAATTCAAAGCCCCTTCAAGGCACTTTTTTTTTTTTAATTAAGAGAGGGTAAAAACAGTATGTGTAATGGAAAATTTTGGTGTTGTTAAGTACATAACAGCTTTTACTTAAGTCTCTAATTCATCTTGTGAATTTAAGATTTTTGGGCAAGTGTTAAGTCTTAGGTGCAATACAACACAACCTACTTGAAGATTTGCTGGTGTTATTGATAGTCTAGAGCAATGGAAAAAACAACAGGCATTAATGTAGAATCAGAGTGACTAGTCACAGGAGTTCCGCCTAAAAAAAAAAAAGAAAAAAAAGACCGTCCATCCGACAAATATGGAGTCAAAATACATTATAAAATACACAAATGGAGTTTTAGTTCCATCACTAGTCCTGGCAGAATGCTCAGGAATCTTGGGCTGGCTGAGTGGCGCGTTGGTTAAGAGCCGGCTTGGGACGCCAGAGGGCCCCGGTTTGGATCCCACATATGAGGGCCAGTGACACTGCCCTCCACAGCTAAGATGCTGAACAACAGCTCAACCTGGAGCTGGGCTGCCCTGAGTTGCTGGCGATGGCGTAGGCTGCAGCCCCTGCTGCAGTGGGTTGCCATGGGCCACCGTGTGTAGCCAGCAGCCAGCATGAGCGGCCAGCAGCCGCTGTGAGCGGCCATCCAGAAGCCGGCAACTGATCTGTCTCGCCCAGGAAGAGCGCAATGATGGTGCCAACTTGGGCCAGTGAAGCAACGTCCTCCACAACTAGACTGAAGAACAAAAGGATAGCAACTTGTCTGCTCCCCTTCCCCCAATTCCCCAATAAAAATCTTAAAAAAAAAAAAAGAATGCTCAGGAATCACAAATTTGGAGGGTTTGGAGAGGATTCAACATGCCAACACCCCTTCTGCCTATTTCTGCAGTTTAATTGGGAGTCATATAAGTTTCCACACCCATTAATTTTTCAGAGGGTGTGAAGGACTTGCTTCCTTCACTGGGCCTTGAAAACAGCATGGATGCTGTCTGTCCTAGGTGGAAATATTATGTCCTGTTATTTAGATAGATATCTCAGTTTGAAAACTTAAACCTTTTCCTTCCAACCTGGATGTTAAAGACAGATCTGTTCCCTGTGCCTCTTCTGGACGCCAGGACCTACACTGTGACAGAATGCCATGGGGAAAGGAATAAAGCTGGTCTACCTGGAGCAGAAAACTCAAGGCTTGATTTAACCCCATCATCCTGGAAGTAAAGTTCTCTTATAAAGGCCTTGGAGCTTTTGATTTGGCCCAAGCCTTGTACAAGCTGCTCTCTCTGCCTTGCAAGCCTCCCCCACCCTTTCTGCTCCCAGCCATCCTTCAGGACTCAGGATGTGGGCTCTCTCAGTGAGCCTTCACTGGAAACTTCCTCGCACCGTGTTCTAACTGCTTCCTGGGTGTCTCCCATCTCATCCTCGGACAGGAAGCTCCTCTAGGTCAAGGAGGAGGTCAAAGTCTTATTTCTAATCTACCCCTAGACAGTGTTTCATGCATAACTGCTGCTCAATAATTATGTTTGCAATTCATCACCAAAAATAAT